AAATAAATAAATAAATAAATAAATAAATAAATAAATAAAAAATGCTCAGGTCCCTATAGCCTCTGGGCTGCTGGAGGCTGCCGAGGCCTAAGGGACCAGGCCATTCATGCAAAGTGGCTGTTGGCCACTCCCTTCCCCTCCGTGCTGTTTCCCTGCCTCGGGGAGCAATCTATCAGTCTCCGCTTTCCAGAACCACCCAACTTCCTTAGAGAAACCCAAGCCCAGGGGTCACTTCTCTCTGTTGGTAATCGTACCAAATTAGAGCAGATTTCCTTTGTCCTTCTTACAGCCAGCAAGAGGACGCTTTCTCCCCACTACACAGAAAAGTCAATGGAAGCCGGCGGAAAGGAGTCTCCTTGCCCCGGGCTGCCCGGATTGCCGAAGGCATGGCCAGACAGACAGGCTTCTCGGGGGCCTCCCACACCAGCGCCAGCCCGTTCCGTCCTAACCAGCCCGCCCGGAGCTGTCAGGAGCCACCCAGACTCACACTTGCAGGTGACCACGTAAGTGGGCACGATCCAGAGGCTCAGGGCTCCACTCCCCCTGCGGGCCCCAGTCCCAAGTCCAGCCTCTCCCCCACCCACGCCAGGCTGGGCCTCCTTACCTTGGCCCTGAAGCCCCTTGAGGAACAAAAGTGTGAGGACGAGAGACAGCCCCCACATCCCCAGAGGACAGACGGGTCAGCCGGCTCCTCTCCCGCCAGACACGCTGCTGGGCACGGGCTCAGCTGCAGCCAGCCAGCAGCAGAGTGACTGACAGGGGAGCAGAACTGCCTTGCTGTTTGTCCGGCCACAATTTCCTCAACTCAAGGCTGTTCTCAGCGGCTGAGAGCTAACAAGGCCACTGAGAAAGTCCCAGTACATGGACCTGGTCCGACAGTTCATACAAGCTGAGCTTTCAAAGTTGGCCTCAAGTGGGCGGGTGCTGAGAGTTCACAGTGACTCACAAAACCAGCTTCCAAATCCTGTCCATCGCTCTGCCCCAGCAAGGCTTCCTTGTTCAAAGAGCAGACTCCCGGGACATGTTCCGGTTCTGGAGGAGGCTGCATGGGGACCCAAGAGCCATTATCCCACACTGCCCCCATTCCAACAGGCACTGTGAAGGTGGGAGGGCTGGGGGCGCGTGGGCTGACAAGTGGAGCCCTGCCTAAGGGGGTGAAATGTGGCAGGAAAGGAGCAGGGGACCCCAGGGAGGTCGAAGAGCTGGGTAAGCTCTGCAAGTTGATACCCGGGTCTAAGCACAAGCCAACTGCAACATCCTTACCTAGACTTGCTTTTGCTTGTCTCCTATCTGTGCTTCTATATCCCCTCCTTTCCTCTTTTTCTACTTTCCCGCGGCGTCCTCTCTGCCTCTCTTGCCTTCTGTCACCCAGACAGGACACAGACCTGCCTTTGCTGTGCCTCCCCGCCCACACTTCAGTTCCACCCTCCGGGAAGGCCAGGCAGCTTTGATCCTTCTTATGCCCCCATGGAGGGGCACAGGCGGTGGTCCCACCTTCCCCAGAAAGCATCCGCTTTGAGGCCTTCCCCCGGAGGCCCCCTGCCTTTTTCTTTCTTCTGATTTCCCCTTCGCAGCAAATACTTTCAGTTCCCTTTAGGTCAGTCCCGTTCTTTTTTCATCCTTTGATCCATTTCCAATCACCCCAGCTGAAGCTGGGCTGAAGGGAGGCAGACTAGAGCCTTGGCTACCGAGGAAGGAAGCAGAGCGTTCCGGACAGAGCGCAGAATTGGAGGCAAAGACACAGTATACTTGAGTGTCAGGTCAGCAACTTAACAGCCTGTGTGATCCTGGCCAAGTTACCTTCCAAGCCCGTGGGGTCGGTCCTTGGCTCGGGTTCCTCGCAGGCTAGTTTTCAGGATCAAATCAAAAACTGTAGCTGAGAGTATGCATGAAAAAAACTCTGGACACAGGTAAGGTTCCATGTTTTTTTTTTTATTTTATTTTAGAGAGAGAGAAAGAGGGAGCCTGTGAGTACGAGTAGGGGAGGGGCTGGGGGAGGGAGAGAGGGAGAGAGAGAGAGAGAGAGAGAGAGAGAGAGAGAGAGACAATCCCAAGCAGGCTCCATGTTCAGGGCAGAGCCCCACACGAGTCTCGATTCCACAACCCTGGGATCATGCCCTGAGCTGAAATCAAGAGTCAGACGCTCAACTGACTGAGCCACCCAGGAGCCCCCCTTTTATTATTTTTTGTTGCATTTTATTTTTCTTAACGTAGCCCTGCGTGACTTATTCCAGCTGGTGCCATGGCTGTCAACTGTGCTGTTCTATGTCTCCTCCCAAGGGGCAGCCCCCACCCTTAGATGAGGCCAGAGCCCAACTAGCCATGCCCTTGACCTCGAGAAGGGGTGCTCAAGACTGATGCAATAAGAGTAAATTTCCTGCCACAAAAGATGAGGGACAAAAGCCAACCGTTCAAAGCAACTAACCAGCAACATTTACGAACCGGCTTCACCGATCCCGACCCCAACACCAGCTCCATCCTGTCTCCATCAGTTGCGTGGATGCCCCACCAACCCCTGGAAATGAACTGGGACCAGACATACCACTTGGGTCTTGTGGTCTTGTCAGCTAGAATGCAACGGGAAGTTACTCAAATCAGAGAGCTGAAAGCTATCAGCAGAAGGGAGGAGGAGAAGGGACAAAAGCAGGGAAGGAATGTGTTTTGTTTTGCAGAACTAACAGTTCTGCCCAAAGAGATGCCCAGCTAGGTGTGCCTCGCCTGATCAGCCCCTGATGCAAGCCAGCGTGAGCTGGGTTGGAGCTGAGGACCCCTGCAGAAGCCCCCCTAAGTTGTCCTGAAATTACCCTTAGCTCGTCATAATACTAAGATCTCCTCTGGGCAGAGTTTTCTGCCACTCTTCGAACATATGTGGTATGCACCAGCCTGTTAACACGCTAGGCGTGTGCGATTGAACTGAAGTGCTTTTGTAAGCTCCCTGCCCAAGTCTCCTGACACACTGAATGAAGGCTTCCTGTACTAACCCCACGGGAGACAGCCCTTTGAGAGCTCTCCCCCCGTCTCCTTACTTGTAGCAAGTAATGAAAAGTTCTTTGTTTTCAAACTTCCTTGGGGTGTACTCAGTGCATGCACCCCAAGCAGCGAGCCTCTTGAGTTCGGTTACAGTCTTAACCATACTCTACCACATGATAACTGCTATTCGTCTCCACGCTGCCCTGCCTGACACTGAGTGATTCATCATGAAGTCTGTGCTCTCCCTAGCTAGTGTTTCCAGAGCCTGGCCCAGTGTCTGGTTCTTAATAGTCAGTTACAGAGTGTTGAGGGCTGAAGGAATGAATGATTTCCCTGAAGAAAGCATTTTCCATCCATCCTGAGATAGTGCTAGTGAGCTAAGCCATTGCCATCCTGCCTTCATGGGGTTTAGAACTTGCCCTGCAGGGTCCTCGTACGGAGGGCCCTGCTGTGCAATTCGGCCACTTTAGCATGAAGAACCAAACCCCTACAAAGTCCACCTGAACTCAAGGACTCCCATAGCCCCACTTCCCATGCAGAGTCTCCAGGTCTCTGTGAGTCTGGGACATTGAAAATTCAGTGACCATCCAGGAAGTACAGGTTCATCAAGCCCTCCCTCTCATCCTTCTTTTTCTCGAACCATACTGGCATCATGTTTCGCTGAGTCAGGGTCATTCCTGTATCTGAGCCCAACTGCAAAAGTCACAAGTCACCAAGACCACCCACTTGTAAGATTAATTATATGTTTGGTGTCCCTACGACCCCCTTTGGTTCTGATAATTCACTAGAAGTCGCTTTAACAACCATTAACATGTGAGATACCTATGCCCTTTGACCTAGCAATACCCCCTCTTTGAATTCATACAACAGAAATACTCCAACGCACCAAAAATATTTTCACTAATGTCCAAAGATAAGTACGTTTCTTTCTTACAACACTGTTCAGTGAAAAAACTGAAAATAGCCAAAATGTTACTAAGTAGGGAATTTTTTTTTTTTTAATTTTTTTTTCAACGTTTATTTATTTTTGGGACAGAGAGAGACAGAGCATGAACGGGGGAGGGGCAGAGAGAGAGGGAGACACAGAATCGGAAACAGGCTCCAGGCTCTGAGCCATCAGCCCAGAGCCCGACGCGGGGCTCGAACTCACGGACCGCGAGATTGTGACCTGGCTGAAGTCGGACGCTTAACCGACTGCGCCACCCAGGCGCCCCTAAGTAGGGAATTTTTAAAAATGGTGTATTCATTCTATACTATAGTATATTAAGAAGGCTTTAGGGGCACCTGGGGGGCTCAGTCGGTTGAGCGTCCGACTCCGGCTCACAGTTCGCGAGTTTGAGCCCCACGTCGGGCTCTGTGCTGACAGCTCGAAGCCTGGAGCTTCAGATTCTGTGTCTCCCTCTCTCTCTGCTCCTCCTTTGCTCATGCTGTCTGTCTCTCTCTCTCTCTCTCTCTCTCAAAAAATAAACATTAAAAAAAAATTTTTTTAAGGCTTTGAAAAGAGTAAGACGGGGTCACCTGGGTGGCTCAGTCAGTTGAGCAACGACTCCTGATTTTGGCTCAGATCATGAACCCAGGGTCATGGGATGAAGCCCCACATCAGGCTTTGCACTGAGCATGGCGTCTGCTTAAGATTCTCTTTCTTTCTCCCTCTGCCCCCTCCCCTGTTTGCACTCGCTCTCTCTTTCTCTCAAAGAAATTAAGAAACAGAGTAAGACCAAAGTATATATATATTCACATTAAAAGAGCTCTAAGACATTCACAAAACAATCTGCATAATGTAATTCTGTTCAGGTGGGCAGAACTGAGTGTGTGCATTTGTGTTCTCTGAGCGGGTGTAAAGGCAGAGAAATGTGCCTGGGGGACAGTATTCGTGACAGTAACCTTTAGATAAAGAAACAGAATTTTCAGGAGGGGTGAGTGAGAGGGTGACTGACTTTTTGTTCTTACCTATACTTCCGTTTGGAACTTTTTACAATGGCTATGTTACACGTGTGATGATTGGAAATAACAGTTCCCCAAGTTCCCAGGTTTTCGAGTACGTAACGTGAGACCAACGCATTAGCCAGGGATTTCCAGGGAAACAGAGCCACCTAGGAGACGTGTAGACATAGACAGAGAAACAGACATAAAGATAGAAGTAGAGATTTATCACGCAGAATTGGCTCATGCAATTGCGGAGCCAATGTCCTGGTTCGAGGGCCATCAAGCAGGAGAATTCTCTTTTACCCGAGGGAGGGTAAGCCTTTTGTTCTCTTCAGGCCTTCAACTGATTGGATAGGGACCACCCACATTGGGAGAGCCGTCTGCTTTACTCAGTCTACCAATTTATCTTTTTTTAATGTTTACTGATTTATTTGAGAGAGACAGAGCATGAGCTGGGAAGGGGCAGAGAGAGAGAGAAACACAGAATCGGAAGCAGGTTCCAGGCTCCAAGCTGTCACAGCACAGAGCCCCACGCGGGGCTCGAACTCACTTACTGCGAGACCATGATCTGAGTTGAAGTCAGACGCTTAACCAAACGAGCCACCCAGGTGCCCCAAAATTCCATTAAACTTTAAAATATCCCTACGCGCTGACACAGTATTTTCCAGTGTTCCTAGTCCAGAACTCACGTCACCAGGCAGTCTGCTTTTTCTGGCTCTTTAGAAAAGGTGAACTATGTTAATCCAGCTCAGGACACTGACCTTTGCTCTTGCCTGTCAGAGTTGTGGAGTCCCACATTCCCCACCTACTCCTGAGGGGGGCTTCCCTACCAGCTGCTAGCCTTAGAACGCTGCAGGATGTAAGTAAAGCCAAGGTCTCGATCACCAAAAGTATTAGTCACTG